TCCCGAAAATTTCTGTTCGGCCTCGCCCCATATAATACTCTGGGCGTGACCATTGGGTCCGAGCATTCTCTCTACTGTGGGCGAACTAGACGAAAATTTGCAAAGCTCGAACCCGCTTTCTGCATTTACCTCCTTCAATCACCTCAATCTCCGTAGCGAAACTGTCCACATAGTCGTCTACGTAATAGTAATCCACCTAGTGATAATCCACGATGGTCTTGACCTTTCTAGACATCGAATCCAAGAATTGCCAGGCATTTACACTCTTCACATGATGCACCACACTCGGTGAACATGCAGCTCCAAAGGTCATCACGCACATCTCAAAATCTTGAATATCTCGTTTGTCATCCCCATTTCTTCACAATAAATTTTGCACACATCTTTCTTCAGGTCCGATCAGCACCTGCTGTAATATCTCCTTGATGTTACTAAAAACCGTTTTTTTTATATTGATCAGCCGAATGTGCGCCATATCATAGCTACGAGGCAGCACAATGTGATCCTTCTTCCATAATAATCCCATCTGGTATCGACGTCCGACTTGCACTGTAGTGTCTTTCAAGATCTGCTGGGCCCTCACGTCGGCCCTCACATTGTACACGTGTACAACTGTACACGTGGTCTCGCTGACGCCACACAAGCACTTGTTGGGTTAGGTACCGCCAAGCCCGTTGCAAAGGGCGGCTGATCTAACCTAACCTAACTCAACAAAGCGCGATCAGCACGTTCGTATTAAGGCTACGAGCACGCTCCAAATCCTTCTCCAGCTTGGCATTCCTCTCCAAAATGTCGTTCACATGTGGTTTCCTGGTAGCCCCAGTACTTGCCGACTGGTCAGATAAAGTCGGGTCTTCACTGCCTCGGCCGCCATCTTTCTGCGTCCCCGCACTCGGCTGCGGGACCAATACCGTCCTGTTGGGGCGTCACTATCTTCTGTCCATCGCTCAGACGAGGATGCCTTCTGGGCGAACGCTGCATCATTTCGTCCAGGCACTAACCAGGCAACACCTGTTGCGTCCAAAAAACTTTGCGCTGTCCACGCCACAAAGGCTATCCTTTCGGTATCGCATTCGACCCATGTTACAGAATCATCGAAACTTGGTATTTGGTAAAAATACCAACTTTGGTATTTTTAAAGATGAAGCTTGGGACTTGTTTTTTAAATTTTGTATTCTTTTATATTGGTTTTGAAATTTGGTAGGTCGGATCAACTGACCAAAAATATAATCTGTATGAAGTAACAACTTTCTATCTTCCAAAACACGAAAGTTGGGTCTTTTCGGATTGTTGAATTGTATGGTAGCTATAGGATATAGATGGCCGATTCTTATGAAATTTGGTTCGTCATTGTATCTTACCAAAAACGCATACGAAATACGAACTCTCCAAATCAAAAAACACCAAAGTTATAGCATATCCCATCAATCAGTTGTATACTGCGTGACTAACCTGAGAGACTAGTTTGCGTAGAAACAGACAGACGGACGAAAAGACAGACATGCTCATATAAACTCAGGAGGTGATCCTGATGAAGAATATATAGACTTTATAGAGTCGGTGATGTCTCCGTCTCTACGTTACACACTTTTGAACAAAATTATAATACACTCTGCAAGGGTATAAAAATGCTATTAAATTGCAATTTGTTCAATTATTTTCGGGCGGTGGGGTTGTTGACACTCACACTTTTGTAATCAAAAAACAAGAAAGCAAAGCTAACTTCGGGCGGAGCCGAAGTTTATATACCTGTACGGTCATTTTCGTTGTCGTAATGTTCATTACGTAATGTTAGTGCATACCACAACCCTACAATCGATACCTGCTTGATGTCTATCGATCTCGAAAACCCGGTCCCTTTGGAAAGCGGGACATCTCTAAGCTTCTTCCAATTATTACGACTAAAACACATTCTTGTTATACTGCCAACATTGTTTGATCTCTAAAATCAATTCAAATTAAATTCAGTGACATCCTTGAAACAAACCCTGTGTTTTTATAAAACGGCAATAGCAAAGTCCCCATAGGAGACTTCTGCTAATCATTGACTCCCGTATTCTATCGGCGCAGTCACAACATTTTTGGTGGCCCATGAGGGGAACCTGTTGTTAAATATGCCAATGAATGGAGTTTGAATTGATTTGGAACAAACAATTGGGCTCAAATTAATCTGAAACAAACGGCTATTAACCTATGCCACGTGGAACCACGCTTTCTACGAATAACGGACCGAAGAACAAGGGATCGCTGAGCGACGAATAACGGACAAAGGAAGGAGAGATTGCTGCGAGACGAATAACGGACCAAAGGAACGACGAATTGAAACTGGAAACTGCTACACAGACTGACTGGAAGCCGGTGAGTGTTTGTATGTGAGGGCTGTGATTTCAAGCGTGCTGTTGTAAATTTAATAAAACTATGGGTATCGACGATGAAAAGACAGGCACACAAGCCAATCCTTCCCCATCCGACCAGTTTGCTGGTTTGCACGCGAGACAGAAGGATTTATGGAACAGGTTGACGCAACTCGAGCGTAACTTCAAGAAGGATAGCCAATCCCGAAAATCCAAACATTATTTTCTTCAGCGACTTAGCACGTTAAAGGATTTATCCACCCTGTTTGATGCGAATCACCAACATCAGGTCGATCAGCTGTGTCCCAGTCAACATGTATATTTCTCAGACAACCTATACGAGCGGTTTGTTGAAGAGCACCAGCACATCTTCTGCAACATCTCGGAAGAATACGACAACAAGTTCTCAGTGATAGCCCAAGGTTCCCCACCAATCGAGTCCGTCACTCCAATTTTATCATCCAACATTCCGCTTCCGAAGCTTCCAGTTCCACGCTTTTCGGGAAGCTTTACGGATTGGCCCTCGTTTTACGATGGTTTCCTACAACTCATCCATGACAACAACACTCTCTCTAACATCCAGAAGTTTCACTTTCTCAAGCAGGCCTTGCCCGAAGGACGGGACCAGGATGTCATTCACATGGCATTAACGGATTCTGGGTATACGGTAGCCTGGGATCTCCTCGTCAAGCGCTACAACAATCCACGTCTCCACTTTATGCACACCATGGCGGCACTGTATGGTCTTGAGTCGGTTCCCAAGGAAGCTGCAGAAGGTATCAGGCGCGTGCTAACCCTGGCTAATGTTTGCATTAGTGATCTTCGACGTTTAGAAATAAACATTGATTCCTGCGATCACTGGCTAGTGCATCATCTGTTAACCAAACTACCAAGCAGAACTACGCAAGCGTGGGAGCACTCATTGGGGAGCTCCACCGTGATTCCAACCTTTTCGATGTTGGAGACTTTCCTGCTGGAGCGCTTAGTTAGCATCGACCTAATCGAAAATAGAAATCAACCACTTGGAACTCGTTCAGCACCAGGACAATCTTCCCATCCACGTGCGCCTAACCGATCCAACTTCAGTTCCACTAACCGCCAGAGTTTTCATGTGACTACGGAAATGGGAGCACCCCAGTGCACTCTCTGCCAAAGAAACCAAGTTCTCCGGAGATGCCCCAGTTTTCTCGCGAAGGATTGCTTTGCTCGTAAGACGATCGTCGATCGCATAAAGGCATGCCTCAATTGTCTCAGCACAGGCCACGCGCTAAGTCACTGCGGCAGCACTCGCAATTGCTTACAGTGCGGCCAACGCCACCATACGCTACTGCATTGTCCGAACATAGCAACCCAGCCTACCAACTCTGCCCTATCGCGACAGCCAACGAACGGTGTCCATAGCGCGCAGGGCACCCAACAGAGCGTAGCATCCCGCTCATCTGTTTCGTCTCAACAGCACAGCCCCCGGCTTAACTGCTTCGAACGAGACGCAACTCCTCAGCGCAGTTGCCACCTATCAAAATCCATCCACCACGATTCTCGCCAAACGGGACAATCTGTTTTAGCCAGAGCGTTGATTGACCATGGCTCGGAAGGAACACTTATCACCGAAAGCTTAGTACAGACGCTGGGTCTCTCACGCACCCCTATATCTGCGGAAATAACAGGGATCGGCGACTCCTCTCACAATCGTTGTCGACATAGTACCAATTTTGTCCTAAGCTCGATTTCAGGTTCCCAGTTCCCATCGTTTGTATCCACTGCATTTATTCTCCGTACACTTACAGGGCACCTTCCAAAATTGGATGTCGACCCTCGCTCATTCCAACACCTTAAAGGATTGCAACTCGCCGATCCCAATTTTGCCCGCTCCGGTCGTATTGACGTGCTTGTGAGCGTTGATCTTATTCCACAATTGATGCTCCCAGAAATTCGACGAGGAACTCATGAGGAACCAATCGCACAAAACACTCTTCTTGGTTGGATTGTTTTTGGACCAGTGAGGAAATCCATGACACACTCCATCACTGTCCGTTGTAACACCACGACGCTTGATCATCTGGTGCAAAGGTTCTTCGAACTAGATAGCGTGCCGTCTGAACGCCAACTCACCACAGAGGAACGATGGTGTGAAGAACACTTTCGTCAAACCCATGTTCGACAGCCCAACGGGAAATACATGGTTCGCTTACCACTGAAAACGTTGTTCGACCCGTCACAAGTTCTAGGCCGATCAAAACATATAGCCTTAAATCGTTTCTACACACTAGAGCGAAAATTGCAGCAGCGCGATAAGCTTCATCAACAATATCTCCAAGCAATCGAGGAATATTTTGACTTACAGGATATTTGATACAAGAAGTCACTACAAGCAAAGACAGTCACTCTCATGTCAACACAAATGGGAAGCTCGGCGTCTTCTGCAGCACGATTCCACACCATGCAGTCCTGAAGGAGGACAGCCTGACGACTAAACTCAGGGTAGTCTACCACGCCTCTTGTAAGAGCTCCAACGGGAAATCACTGAATGACATTTTATGTACTGGCCCAGCTCTACAGAACGATTTGGGAGGAGTGATACTAAATTGGCGTTGTTATCGCTATGTTTTCGTGGCGGACATCCAAAGGATGTACCGATGTATCGAAATGCATCCAGAGAACTCTCAATTCCAGCGCATTTGGTGGCGTGACAAAACCGGAGAGTTAAAAGAGTTCCGTCTCACCACAGTTACCTTCGGAACAGCATCAGCGCCATACACAGCGATTTGGGTGATCCACCAAATAGCTCAGGACGAACGAGAAAATTATCCGCTAGCAGAAAAGGTACTGAAAAATGAGATTTATGTTGATGACGTACAAAGCGGCCATGTGACCACGGACGGTGCCATTCGAGTGCGAAACGGGGTCATAGCAGCCCTCCGCTCGGCTGGTATGCATCTTCGAAAATGGGCAGCGAACCACCCGGCGTTGCTTAGCGATATTCCTAAAGTAGACCTCTGCAACCACTCAATCTTCAAAATGGACAATAAAGACAGCATTAAAACGCTTGGACTGTACTGGCAGCCAAATCCGGACGTCTACGGATTCAAAATCCATTTCTCGATCAATCCCACACTTTCGAAAAGGGCTCTTTTATCAACAGTGGCACGGCTCTTCGATCCATTAGGATTTTTAGCACCCTTGATAGTCATGTCAAAAATTCTCTTCAAGGACGTATGGAGCTTTCGTTTGCAGCAAACTGATGGCACTTACCGTGCACTCGATTGGGACGACATGCTACCAGAGTCTTTGGCAGCGCGTTGGCAGCGATATCTCGAACATCTTCCAGAAGTTCAACACATTCGCATACCACGCTGGTTCGGTTGCGATTTCAGCAATGTGATATCTCTTCAATTGCACATGTTCTCCGATGGGTCGTCCCTCGCGTATGCAGCGTGTGCCTACCTTCGAGTACTCGACACTGCTGGAATTATACATACACACTTAGTCGCAGCTCGCACTAGGGTGACACCAACAAAGCCTCTCACCTTACCGCGAGTGGAGCTTTCCGGAGCAGTTCTAGCTACCAAACTCGCCAAAACTTCACGTGCCTCAGATGCGGGTCACAGTGTACTACTGGTCTGACGCCATGATCGTGCTTCACTGGATATATGGAGATCCATGCAGGTGGAAGACTTTTGTAGCCAATCGAATTGGCAGCATCCAAGAGGTCAGCTCTGCTTCACAGTGGGGTCATGTGTCTACACAGGACAACCCTGCGGATTTTGCAACGCGCGGTTTAACCCCACTACAGCTCGCGCAGGATAAGCTCTGGTGGAGCGGCCCAGACTGGTTGCAGGAACCCGAAGATCATTGGCCCAAGGTAACTTTTACTTCTCCAGATCCGAGCACAATCTGCGAGGACCAGGCAGCAAAAGTTATCCACGCTCACACCTGCGCATCCACTGATTCCTTTGTTGAGTCATTTTCGTCATACAGTCGACTTGTATTTTCCACAGCATTCATTAATCGCTTTATCTATAATACTCGCTGCAAAAGGGAGGCTCGGCTTTCCGGACCAATTAGCGTAAAGGAGTTTTCCAAGGCAATGTATACTCTGGTTCGCGTTGTCCAACAGGAAGCATTCTCTCACGAACTGTCCAAGTTGCAAGCAAACAAATCGCTCTCAAAATCTAACAAGCTTAGCCAACTGTCGCCATTCATAGATGCCCAAGGGATCCTCAGAGTGCGGGGCAGACTTCGAAACGCTTTGCAGCTCACCACTCAACAACGCACGCCCATCATCCTACCGAAGTCACATCATTTTACGGACCTCGTTGTAAAAAACGCCCATCTGAACACCATGCATGGGGGAGTGCAACTGACCCGTGCGATCATCCATCAGCAGTTTTGGATCATTAATGGCAAACTAGCGGTAAAAAGAGTTCTCCGACAGTGTGTGGCTTGCTTTCAGCATCGCCCTAAACCCTCTCGACAATTAATGGGTGATCTTCCATACCATCGTGTTAATCCGCCGAAAAGAGCGTTCGAAGCTACAGGTGTGGATTACACAGGATCTATCGATGTCAAGGCCTCGAGGTTCAGAGGACACACTACATACAAGGCCTATATTGCAGTATTCATTTGCCTCGCCAGTAAAGCTATCCATTTGGAGCTGGTGACAGGACTCACAGCACAACATTTTCTCTGGGCTCTCCAACGGTTCATTGGACGCCGCGGTTTTGTGCGGCACATGTACAGTGACTGCGGCACAAATTTTATAGCAGCAGATAAATCCCTACAGTTGTGGTCTAACGAGTTCCGGCAGGAAATCAACCAGACAGTCGTCCCAGAACTCACAAAGCGCTATATTCAGTGGCACTTTAACCCCGCACACAGCCCAAGCTTCGGAGGACTTTGGGAGGCTAACGTCAAAGCCGTAAAGTCTCATCTTCATCGTTCCTTCAAAGGATACCCAATCTCTTATGAACAATTATCAACTGTTCTTATCCAGATCGAGGCCTGTCTTAACTCTCGGCCATTACGCCCGTTAACCGCGGATATTAACGATCTGCAAGTATTGACTCCAGCTCATTTTCTCATCGGAGACTCCATGCAATCGCTTCCTACCCCCAGTGACAAGGACAAGTCGATCAACACACAGTTCATGGAGGGACAACGGATCATACGCCAGTTTTGGAAAAGGTGGAGCTCAGATTGGTTGTCTCACCTTCAGGCACGCCCTAAGTGGAGACAAGAGGAAGGAAACCTACAGGTCAATGACCTAGTTATTATCAAGGACGACAAGACAGGTCCAACCGATTGGAACTCGGTCGTGTTATAGAATTACACCCTGGATCCGATGGGATGGTACGAGTTGCAACAATCTATACAGGTTCGGGTACATATAAGCGTTCAGTATCCAGAATACGAAAGTTAAAACCGGATATATATCGCAAACATCGGATATAGTTGGCCGATCCTTATGATTACACCATAATAAAACCAATTAATTACAATAAAAAATCTAAAAAAAAGTCCCAAGCTTCTATCTTTAAAAATACGAAAGTTGATATATCTACCAAATACCATTTCCGATCGTTCAGTTACATGGCAGCTATAGGATATAGTCGGCCGATCCTAATGACATGTAATCTGTTGCCAAAAATAGCTCTCGTGTCAAGTTTGAACTCTCTAGCTCTAAAAACACTAAAGTTATACCACTTCCGATCAAACAGTTAAGTTAAGTCGGCCGATCTCGGCCGATCCCGGCCGTTCCAGCTTATATTCTGCGTGCAAAGGAAAGAAGGGTGGGTGCAAAGTTTCAAGTCGATAGCTTTAAGACTGAGAGACTAGTTTGCGTAGAAACAGACAGACGGACAGACAAACATGCTCATATCAACTCAGGAGGTGTTCCTGATCAAGAATATATATTCTTTATAGGGTCGGAGATGTCTCCCTTCACTGCGTTGCACACTTCTGGACAAAATTATAATACCCTCTGCAAGGGTATAACAAAAAAGGAAAGCTAACTTCGGGCAGAGCCGATCCTAATGAAATTTTGTAGGTTGGGTCAACTGACCAAAAAAAGAATCTGTAAAAAAGAAAAAAGACTTTGGTGTTTTTAGAGTAAGAGAGTTCAAATTTGACACAGGACCTATTTTTGGCAACAAATTACGACATCCGTCTGTCTGTCCGTCCGTCTGTCCGTCGGTCTGTTTCTACGCAAACTAGTCTCTCAGTTTTAAAGCTATCGACTTGAAACTTTGCACCCACCCTTCTTTCCTTTGCACGCAGTTTATAAGTCGGAACGGCCCGGGATCGGCCGACTTTGTCCTATAGCTGCCATATAACTGATTGATCGGAAGTGGTATAACTTTGGTGTTTTCAAAGTTAGAGAGTTCAAATTTTACACGAGAGCTACTTTTGGCAGAATAAAACGGTATGACAATATTCATAAGGGTCGGCCGACTATATCCTATAGCTTCCATATAACTGAACGATCGGAAGTGAGGGGCCGTCCATATATTGCGTGACGCGAATTTCAGACTTTTTTGACTCGAATATAATTGGCCGATCACTATGAGAATATCATAATATAACCAGTTTATTACAATGCAAAATCTAAACAACAATCCAAATTTTTATACCCTTGCAGAGCGTATTATAATTTTGTCCAAAAGTGTGCAACGCAGTGAAGGAGACATCTCCGACCCTATAAAGTATATATATTCTTGATCAGGATCACCTCCTGAGTTGATATGAGCATGTCCGTCTGTCCGTTTGTCCGTTTGTCCGTCTGTCTGTCTGTCCGTCTGTCTTTCCGTTTCTACGCGAACTAGTCTCTCAGTTTTAAAGCTAACGTCTTGAAACTTTGCACACACGCTTCTTTCCTTTGCACGCAGTATATAAGTCGGAACGGCTCGGATCGGCCGACTATATCCTATAGCTGCCATATAACTGAACGATCGGTTTTTTGGCATTAACCGAATAAAGTAACTGATTAGAAAAATTTTATAAAACCTTAACAACATTTTTTGTACTCATGACATGTCGCTGAAATATCCGTCAGCTTAAAATTAAAGGCGGCTTTATAAGGCGCCTCACCAACATCAAAAATAGAATTTTAAATAAACTTAAAAAAGAAAACTTTCTAAAAAATATAAATTACTAATATTCGGTCGGACATAAAATTGTCACATGTTTTCTAGGATGCCTAGATTAGGGCTACCGAACGGGTCGCAGGTTGCGGATAGTGACCGATCTGCAGTAGGTCAGGCTTGAACAAAGCAAACAGAAAAATATCATTATGTGTTATAACACGTAAATGAATAATAACACTGATTAATAACAATAATATCTTGTAAAATTGCTTTATTGTTCTATTGTGGACCACGAAAATTCTTTTTTGTACATTCCATAAGATAGCCAGTATAAAAAGTTACAAAATGCAAAAGAAGTTGGAAAAGCTATTCGTGCGATACGATCAATTAGAGATACGCTATTGACATAATTAGCAGTTTGGCCTTGATTGTTTTCAGCAGCCGCGTTGCGCGCTCTCAGTTTACGAAAAGTGTCATCATTTTTTAAGCAAAGCCACATTTGTTTTTTGCGCGACATAACAGGGAGTCGTTTTTGGGCTTTGTGTTCCATGGTAAGAGAGCACAGGGAAGATTCTCTGATCATAGGATCCTGTATTTAAGGAAAATAAAATTAATATTTAAGCTTAAATTTATTATTTCTTATATGGACTTACATATGTATTATGTTTAAAGTTTTCAGATCCGTTATTGGTCAAAGCTGGGGAAAAATTGGTTTATATTTTAGTTTAAAATTGTTAACATATCACTTGCTTTATTTTATGGCTTATAGCAGTATACCTTGCATGAGAAATGGCCCAAAAGCCGTGATGCCCAAAACCCTATGGCAGTGGTCGGCAGGACCCTATTCCAGGGGCATAGGAACACACAAGGTATAGAAACACAAAGGAACGCACTGCCATACATGCAAGGTTTAATCCAGGGGAGCCCACCCACATTGCTCTCTTTCCTCCCTTGTTTTTGGGAGTTTATGGTTTACTCTGTTTCCATAACTGTTTATGGAAAACAAGAAAGGAAAGCTAACTTCGGGCGGAGTCGAAGTTGATATACCCTTGCAGTTAAACCCGGATATATATCGCAAAAATTGGATACAGTTGGCCGATCCTTATGAAAATATCATAATATAACCCAATTTATTATAATGAATATAAGATTATAATGTAATATAATAATAATTTATTATAGTCGGCCGATCCTTACGAAATTTGGCATGTCGTATTATTTTGCAAAAAATAGCTCCTATATAAAATTTGAACTCTCGAACTCGAAAAACACCAAAGTTATACCATTTCCGATCAATCAGTTATATGGCAGCTATAGAATATAGTCGGCCGATCCCGGCAGTTCTGACTTGTTTACTGCGTGCAAGGGAAGGAAGGGTGTGTGCAAAGTTTCGGGTCGGACAGACAAACATGCTCATATCAACTCAGGAGGTGTTCCTGATCAAGAATATATATTCTTTATAGGGTCGGAGATGTCTCCTTCACTGCGTTGCACACTTCTGGACAAAATTATAATACCCTCTGCAAGGGTATAACAAAAAAGGAAAGCTAACTTCGGGCAGAGCCGATCCTAATGAAATTTTGTAGGTTGGGTCAACTGACCAAAAAAAGAATCTGTAAAAAAGAAAAAAGACTTTGGTGTTTTTAGAGTAAGAGAGTTCAAATTTGACACAGGACCTATTTTTGGCAACAAATTACGACATCCGTCTGTCTGTCCGTCCGTCTGTCCGTCGGTCTGTTTCTACGCAAACTAGTCTCTCAGTTTTAAAGCTATCGACTTGAAACTTTGCACCCACCCTTCTTTCCTTTGCACGCAGTTTATAAGTCGGAACGGCCCGGGATCGGCCGACTTTGTCCTATAGCTGCCATATAACTGATTGATCGGAAGTGGTATAACTTTGGTGTTTTCAAAGTTAGAGAGTTCAAATTTTACACGAGAGCTACTTTTGGCAGAATAAAACGGTATGACAATATTCATAAGGGTCGGCCGACTATATCCTATAGCTTCCATATAACTGAACGATCGGAAGTGAGGGGCCGTCCATATATTGCGTGACGCGAATTTCAGACTTTTTTGACTCGAATATAATTGGCCGATCACTATGAGAATATCATAATATAACCAGTTTATTACAATGCAAAATCTAAACAACAATCCAAATTTTTATACCCTTGCAGAGCGTATTATAATTTTGTCCAAAAGTGTGCAACGCAGTGAAGGAGACATCTCCGACCCTATAAAGTATATATATTCTTGATCAGGATCACCTCCTGAGTTGATATGAGCATGTCCGTCTGTCCGTTTGTCCGTTTGTCCGTCTGTCTGTCTGTCCGTCTGTCTTTCCGTTTCTACGCGAACTAGTCTCTCAGTTTTAAAGCTAACGTCTTGAAACTTTGCACACACGCTTCTTTCCTTTGCACGCAGTATATAAGTCGGAACGGCTCGGATCGGCCGACTATATCCTATAGCTGCCATATAACTGAACGATCGGTTTTTTGGCATTAACCGAATAAAGTAACTGATTAGAAAAATTTTATAAAACCTTAACAACATTTTTTGTACTCATGACATGTCGCTGAAATATCCGTCAGCTTAAAATTAAAGGCGGCTTTATAAGGCGCCTCACCAACATCAAAAATAGAATTTTAAATAAACTTAAAAAGAAAACTTTCTAAAAATATAAATTACTAATATTCGGTCGGACATAAAATTGTCACATGTTTTCTAGGATGCCTAGATTAGGGCTACCGAACGGGTCGCAGGTTGCGGATAGTGACCGATCTGCAGTAGGTCAGGCTTGAACAAAGCAAACAGAAAAATATCATTATGTGTTATAACACGTAAATGAATAATAACACTGATTAATAACAATAATATCTTGTAAAATTACTTTATTGTTCTATTGTGGACCACGAAAATTCTTTTTTGTACATTCCATAAGATAGCCAGTATAAAAAGTTACAAAATGCAAAAGAAGTTGGAAAAGCTATTCGTGCGATACGATCAATTAGAGATACGCTATTGACATAATTAGCAGTTTGGCCTTGATTGTTTTCAGCAGCCGCGTTGCGCGCTCTCAGTTTACGAAAAGTGTCATCATTTTTTAAGCAAAGCCACATTTGTTTTTTGCGCGACATAACAGGGAGTCGTTTTTGGGCTTTGTGTTCCATGGTAAGAGAGCACAGGGAAGATTCTCTGATCATAGGATCCTGTATTTAAGGAAAATAAAATTAATATTTAAGCTTAAATTTATTATTTCTTATATGGACTTACATATGTATTATGTTTAAAGTTTTCAGATCCGTTATTGGTCAAAGCTGGGGAAAAATTGGTTTATATTTTAGTTTAAAATTGTTAACATATCACTTGCTTTATTTTATGGCTTATAGCAGTATACCTTGCATGAGAAATCGCCCAAAAGCCGTGATGCCCAAAACCCTATGGCAGTGGTCGGCAGGACCCTATTCCAGGGGCATAGGAACACACAAGGTATAGAAACACAAAGGAACGCACTGCCATACATGCAAGGTTTAATCCAGGGGTGCCCACCCACATTGCTCTCTTTCCTCCCTTGTTTTTGGGAGTTTATGGTTTACACTGTTTCCATAACTGTTTATGGAAAACAAGAAAGGAAAGCTAACTTCGGGCGGAGTCGAAGTTGATATACCCTTGCAGTTAAACCCGGATATATATCGCAAAAATTGGATACAGTTGGCCGATCCTTATGAAAATATCATAATATAACCCAATTTATTATAATGAATATAAGATTATAATGTAATATAATAATAATTTATTATAGTCGGCCGATCCTTACGAAATTTGGCATGTCGTATTATTTTGCAAAAAATAGCTCCTATATAAAATTTGAACTCTCGAACTCGAAAAACACCAAAGTTATACCATTTCCGATCAATCAGTTATATGGCAGCTATAGAATATAGTCGGCCGATCCCGGCAGTTCTGACTTGTTTACTGCGTGCAAGGGAAGGATGGGTGTGTGCAAAGTTTCAAGTCGATAGCTTAAAAACTGAGAGATAAGTTCGCGTAGAAACAGACAGACAGACGGACATCGAACATCTTCACAAAAATTATCTCTTTATAAAATTGTCTTGAGGGGGGACATCTGAGTAGAGTTTTGAAGAAATCGAAAATTTTTTTTTCGCTTTAAAAATTTTTTATGGTCTTAAAAATAACATATCAAAAGATAGAGTCCGGCCAAAGTGTCTCAGTGTCGACATTTTCCATTCTGCGGCGATGCCTCACAGGTATATTCCACAGTACTTAAAACTTTAAACACGTTTTTCTCGGACGTTTTTCCACACTTTGGCCGGACTCTATCTTTTGATATGTTATTTTTAAGACCCTAGGGAATTTTTTAAGCGAAAAAAAAATTTTCGATTTTTTCAAAATTCTACTCAGATTTTCCCCCTTAAGGGCTTCTCGTTGGCAGCATATGTACATTGGGGAGCAAAAGTGATTCCATGTTCAGCATATGCATGTTCAACCTCTCATAAAATGTAAACCATGAACCAAATGAAAAAAACTCTTTTTTCTCGATTACTTATAATAAAATAATACAAGCAGAAATGTAAGAAATAGAAAAAACCAGAAAGGAAATATAACTTCGGGTGGAGCCGAAGTTGATAACCGCTTGCTGTTAAAACCGGATATATTTCGAAAACATCGGATATAGTTGTCCGATCCTTATGAGAATATCATAATATAACCAATTTATAAAAAATAAAGCTCAAACAAAGTATCAAGGTTCTATCTACAAAAGTTGGTATTTTTACCAAAAACCAACATCCGATCGTTCCGACCATATAACTGAACGATCGGAAATGGTCGTTCCGACCATATAACTGAACGATCGGAAATGGTATTTGGTAGAAATATCAACTTTCGTATTTTTGAAGATAGAAGCTTGGGACTTTTTTTTAGATTTTTTATTGTAATTAATTGGTTTTATTATGATGTAATCATAAGGATCGGCCAACTATATCCGATGTTTGCGATATATATCCGGTTTTAACTGCAAGGGTATATAAACTTCGGCTCCACCCGAAGTTAGCTTTGCTTTCTTGTTTTTTTATTACAAAAGTGTGAGTGTCAACACCCCCACCGTCCGAAAATAATTGAACAAATTGGAATTTAATAGCATTTTTATACCCTTGCAGAGTGTATTATAATTTTGTTCAAAAGTTTGTAACGTAGAGAAGGAGACATCACCGACTCTATAAAGTCTATATATTCTTCATCAGGATCACCTGATGTTTATATGAGCATGTCTGTCTTTTCGTCCGTCTGTCTGTTTCTACGCAAACTAGTCTCTCAGTTTAGTCACGCAGTATATAACTGATTGATGGGATATGCTATAACTTTGGTGTTTTTTGATTTGGAGAGTTCGTATTTCTTATGCGTTTTTGGTAAGATACAATGACGAACCAAATTTCATAAGAATCGGCCATCTATATCCTATAGCTACCATACAATTAAACAATCCGAAAAGACCCAACTTTCGTGTTTTGGAAGATAGAAAGTTGTCACTTCATACAGATTATATTTTTGGTCAGTTGATCCGACCTACCAAATTTCAAAACCAATATAAAAGAATACAAAATTTAAAAAACAAGTCCCAAGCTCCATCTTTAAAAATACCAAAGTTGGTATTTTTACCAAATACCAAGTTTCGATGATTCTGTAACATGGGTCGAATGCGATACCGAAGGGATAGCCTTTGTGGCGTGGACAGCGCAAAGTTTTTTGGACGCAACAGGTGTTGCCTGGTTAGTGCCTGGACGAAATGATGCAGCGTTCGCCCAGAAGGCATCCTCGTCTGAGCGATGGACAGAAGATAGTGACGCCCCAACAGGACGGTATTGGTCCCGCAGCCGAGTGCGGGGACGCAGAAAGATGGCGGCCGAGGCAGTGAAGACCCGACTTTATCTGACCAGTCGGCAAGTACTGGGGCTACCAGGAAACCACATGTGAACGACATTTTAGAGAGGAATGCCAAGCTGGAGAAGGATTTGGAGCGTGCTCGTAGCCTTAATACGGAGCGTGCTGATCCCGCCTTGTTGAGTAAGGTTAGGTTAGATCAGCCGCCCTTTGCAACGGGCTTGGCGGTACCTAACCCAACAAGTGCTTTTGTGGCGTCAGCGAGACCGCGTGTACAGTTGTACACGTGTACAATGTGAGGGCCGACGTGAGGGCCCAGCAGATCTTGGAAGACACTACAGTGCAAGTCGGACGTCGATACCAGATGGGATTATTATGGAAGAAGGATCACATTGTGCTGCCTCGTAGCTATGATATGGCGCACATTCGGCTGATCAATATAAAAAAGCGGTTTTTAGTAACATCAAGGAGATATTTCAGCAGGTGCTGATCGGACCTGAAGAAAGATGTGTGCAAAATTTATTGTGAAGAAATGGGGATGACAAACGAGATATTCAAGATTTTGAGATGTGCGTGATGACCTTTGGAGCTGCATGTTCACCGAGTGTGGTGCATCATGTGAAGAGTGTAAATGCCTGGCAATTCTTGGATTCGATGTCTATAAAGGTCAAGACCATCGTGGATTATCACTAGGTGGATTACTACTACGTAGACGACTATGTGGACAGTTTCGCTACGGAGATTGAGGTGATTGAAGGAGGTACATGCAGAAAGCGTGTTCGAGCTTTGCAAATTTTCGTCTAGTTCGCCCACAGTAGAGAGGATGCTCGGACCCAATGGTCACGCCCAGAGTATTATATGGGGCGAGGCCGAACAGAAATTTTCGGGAATGCGGTAGCAGTCAGCCACGGACAACTTCAGGTTTCGAGTGAAGTACCTCAAAGTTGCTCCCATCGTGCTAGGTGGAAAGAGAGTTGCTACAAAAAGGGAATTCTTGAGCATTGTTATGTCGACGATTGGTCCATTAGGATTCGTGTATTGCCTGATGATAACAGCGAAGTTATTATTGCGAGAGGTCCGGAGAAGGAAGATTACATGGGACAAGCCACTATCGGCTAAAATTAACAACGCCTTTATGAATTGGCGCAAGGAGATGAAGAAAAAGGAACAGTTCAGGAGCCCCCGTCCCTATTCTGGACTTTGGATGGTGAACGTGTTTGTGGATGCGAGTCAGTCGGCATTTACGGTGGTGGTCTACTAGAGGACCGCGTATGACATCCATACTCATATGGTCGGATGGTGCCCATTACAGAAATCGTGTTATGGACAGATTTAAAGAAAGTGCTGCGTTAGATTGGCATCAGGCACGGGAGCTAGAAAAAGTTTTTAGAGAACAGAGTAGCTGAAATTCTGGAATCAACTAAGGTGGCCCAATGGAGACGGCTACTGTCCGCCGACAACGTGGTGGATGATGCGATTCGGTCGCTATGCAGCGTGGACCTAAGTGAAGCGTCACGCTGGATAGAAGGACCAGCATTCGGGAGGAGGCAGCTGGCCAGGATCTCCACTCGGTAACGAATCGGATTATAGAGGATAAAAAAGAGATGCAGAGTGAGTTTGTGCTCGTCAGAGCAAGTGATACGTTTATACCGTTGCAACGGAAAGGAAGTGAAATATATTGACTAACGCCATACCTATATGACCAGTGATCCTTTCGCACTGGCACAGTCTCATGGAGATGATTGTGCGCGATGTCCACAAATCAAAACGTGGATGCTACGATCACGGAGATCCGAAACCGCTTCTGGATGGTGAGACTGATGCCGCCGATTATAATGCCGCATTTATAAGATAATAATATATTCGCCCTTTCATTTTCCTAGTTCTCCGGAGTAACAGTGGTTTAAGAAAGAAATAAGCGCAATGGAAGGGCACACTACTGCTCCGGAACGCTAGCAAGATTAAACTGACTTGTTTTGGCAAAAGCGTTATAACTTTAACAATTTTCATAATTTTGCTTCAATGAAATTGCTCTCGTTTTATTCAGATTAATGAGACAATATTGATTTGTGTCAAAAATGGTACCATTTCTTGTAAGTTGTATCGAAAAAATGGCGTCAAATTCCGAAAAACAGGACAAAAATGCAAAAAATATCGGTTTCTTGTGTAAAAATTTTATTGTTTTATATCTTTTTAAAAAGCGGATATATGGAATATTGCAAAAATCAAATAAAGTTGGCCGATACTTATGAGAATATCATAATAAAACCAATTCATTAAAATAAAATATCAAAAAAAAAAGTCTCAAGCTTCTATCTTCAAAAATACCAAAGTTGGTATTTCTACCAAAACCCATTTCCGATCGTTCAGTTATATGGCAGCTATAAGATTTAGTCAACCGATTCTTATGAAATTTGGTAGGATCAACAGACCAAAAATAGAATCTGGACTAAGATCCAGTTTTTTATCTTCAAAAACACGAAAGTTGGGTCACTTCCGATCGTTCAGTTATATGGTAGCTATGGGATATAGTCGGCCGAAACTTAGCACATCGTATTATTTTGCCAAAAATAGCTTTTATGTAAAATTTGAACTCTCCAACTCTAAAAAAAACAGCAAAGTTATACCATTTCCAATCAATAAGTTATATGGCATCTATAGGATATAGCCGGCAGATCCTGGCCGTTCCGACATATATACTGCGTGCAAAGAAAGGAAGGAAGTGTGCAAAGTTTTAAGTCGATAGCTTTAAAACTGAGAGACTAGTTTGCGTAGACGCGGACAGACAGACAGACGGATATGCTCATATCAACTCAGGATGTGATCCTGATCAAGAATATTCATACTTTATGGGGTCGGAGATGTCTCCTTCACTGCCTTGCACACTTTTGGACAAAATTATAATACCCTAGAGAGTTCAAATTTTACACGCTTAAAAGATACCTTCCTATGACTTACCACAAATATGCTTCCACTGTTCAAGCTGAGGAATCTCACTGCTAGCCAGCTTAGTAAAGTAGTGTACTCCAGCAAATTCTAATAGCGTAGCAATGCAATATAGAAAGCTCATTAATAAAAACCAATCCAGGGCAGTGGCATATTTTACTTTTGGCAAATCCGTCCGGGAGTCTAAACTAATAGTTGAAAGAGTTAAAACAGCTGTAACACAAAGACCGACTCTGTCGCTAGTAGCTTCTCGATGTATCCAAAATGAGACCCATGACATAACCACAATAAGAATACATGGCACGTAAACCTATAAGATAACAAAGTTTATTAGTTCGAGCTAGCGCTCCGGTGTAAAAGGGTGTAAAAGAAAGGAATAAGCGAAATGGAAGGGCACACTACTGCTCCGGAGCGGAGCGGGAGAGGGGACTAGACGGCGGCGGTCCGAACAGCGCGAGGAGCTTGTGACAAGTGCAGCTTCCCGGAGCTTAGAGGTCAAAAGCATAGGCGTGCGCCTAATTAAGAAGGACAATGCATACAGATGTCCGTCCGAAACGCATCGTTCAGAGAAGAGCAAGCCAACCAGAGATGTGCAAGCGACTGAAACCTATGTCCCTAAAAATTAATATATACAATATAACAGCATAATAATATAATGAATAAATTGACAACATAACTAAAATAAATGTTTTCAGCTGCTCATACAAGACCAAACAGATCTTGTATGATCTGTATGAAGCCAAAAATCTGTGCCTTTAACAAAATTTCTGTAAAGGCTTTAATTTGGATGTGGTAAGGAAGGAACTATCGAAATATAATTTAGTGAGCATGCTACGTAGCCCCTAGAGGCTTGATAGGTAAGTGTTATGAGAAAATTGTTAAGTGAAAGATTAGTTTCTTGAAGTTGCGGGAAAAGAACGTTATTTGAAAGATTGGTCAGTGGTTCTAACATGTGTAAATTTCACTCCCACTAGCTTCCAAAAACTCTGTGAACAAATCGTCTTGAACTGATGTTCAAGGAATCTTGAACGCGGCCACAGGAATCTTGAAAGAAGACGTGCGCCTTATATATTTGTATTTACTTATGTCCTACACCTTTATATCGGCTTTTGTTTTGACTATAAGCCGAGACATAAATCTCAGGGGCAAGCCGAGATATAAACATATGTTTCGCTTAAGGAATCATATGTTTCGCTCTGTTAACAAGAGCCGCAACTACAAATCCCTTGAATTGGCTCCACTATAACGAGTCAGTAAATAATAGTCGGCTGACCATTGTTAACTACTCTATCTTTTTTTATATGGAAGTCCTCGGCTATTTCCATGCTCGCTTGGACTTTGTTTCATTGTTCCTGTATTATCCTGAATGAATTATCTTAGATGCCTGAGATGCCAACAACAGAATGGTCAACCATGTCCCGCAAGGTTTCTTCATTATTGTCGTAAACGCAGCCCTGACACCGATCAGAGTCATTGTACACTGCCACATCAGAGACGAAAAAAAATTTAAGTGTTGTATTTAAGTACTTCATGCCATTGACGAAGGAGACAACTTCTACCATGTATCCCGATGTTCGACCGATGCTACCGACCGATCCGCTTCCAGTCTTGGCCCATTGATAGACCGATCCTAATTTCTTTGTATGATACTCAGCGCATCTAGCTTGACATGATGTTGGGTTGTGGATCTATGTGGTGCAATTTTCTCTAGCGTCTTGAGGTAAATGAGCGGGCGGGCCATTGCATACGGAAATGGAGACTATGTTAGACTATCTAGCTGCATGGTCCAGAGGGAAACTGAATCGCTTAAATTTAAATGGATAACGAAGTAAAGAAGTTTACATAATGTATGGTAATTATTTGGGCTTTATCAGGTAGCAATGTTATAGTAACATTTGCAGAAATTTTTTTAATATCCTCCTGTGAGTTTTCAAATAATTTATGGTCAAAGCGCTTATTTCGCAACGGCTACAGCAATCTTTAAATGTATCGAAAAATGTTGGCTAGTCTTGCGTCATTCATTTCATGAGCTCTATCTGATATTATCCTTGTGAGCCACTCTCCCTTTTACAAGAACCGTGGTTCCCAGATTTCCTGGGGCGGTCTTGAAGAGCGTCTGTTGAATTTAACCAGGACCGTGTCGCCTACATCGAAAAGTATATTTTGTCGAGCCAGATTATTTCGACTCAGCTACTCCTACTGTGCTTTTATAAGTTTTCCAACTATGTCTGGAGCAAGGTTAAGGCTGGCAACGTTCTATTACATTTGATGGCTGCTTGGAGAAAGAACTGTTTGGCAGTTTCAAGCATCTGGCAATCTCTGAAAGAGTGCTGTGAAATCTCTCCTCCTGACCGTTTTAAGTGCTATGTAACAGTGGAGCGCTAACCACATCTTACCGTATTGCAATCGAAGCATTTGGCTGCCGAATTAGAACTTGGAAAACTTATCAACTGCCGTTAAGAAATATTTTTTGGATGTTAAGAATATATCGATGGGACGTTGGGATCACTCCAAGCTCTTGCTTTTTGGGATGCAGGACGTATTTTCCGTTCTCGCAAACTCTGCAGTTTATGGTCACTTCAGATGTTATCTTGAGATGAAACAAATAGTCGCGTAAAACCTGCTTAAAATTTTTCTGGGTAACTCTGTGAGCTCTGTTATGCTGTTATGCTCTGTTATCTGTCACCAAATGCCTGCAGTACCAGAACTTGGTCCGACAAAAAAAGTCTAATTAATTTATCGTAAGTATGAACCAGAGTAGGCAGCTCGCAATGTATCCAGAAGTTACATCATCCTTTATAAGATCTACCAAGCTGTCCCCACTATTAAACATATTATAGTGCCGTGTTTTTGAGCTGAATAGTATTAATGTCCTACAATTTTTTTGTGACTGTTTCTTCCATAATTATTTGATTCTGGAAGCAGTTCATAGGTCTGTCAGTAGCTTTGATAACGTTAGTTAATGACTATTCTCTGTGTACCGTCGCAGCATCCGACTCAAGCGACTCTGCAAAGCATAAACGTTCTGGTGCGACAAGGCATCTGCTACGTATTTCTCCATCCCGGCGTATATAAAACCATAGCCATTCTTCGATCATCTCTCCTTGTCAGCATGGCTTTATTAAGCATCGCTCCACCACAACAAACTTATTGGAGTTGACATCCTTTGTCATAGATAGCTTTCGTAAGGGATATCAAACCGATGAAATTTACATAGGCTTCAGGAAAGAATTTGATTCATCTGGCGTCCCTTAAGGAAGTCTTCTCGGACCGTTATTATTTACTCTTTTTGTTAATGACTTTCCCCCTGATCTTGAAAACTTTCAAAAATTGTGTTTAGCAAATTATTTAATTCTTAATGGATCAAAGTGCAAGCTTAGGAACGCAAGGACGATTTCTTTTTGTCGTTCTTTCACTCTGCAGGCTACGTATACTCTGTATGGGATTGCCTTAGAGAAATTAACTCAGTTTAATGATTTCGGCATCCTATTTGACACCAAACTTAAATTTGCCGACCGGTTCTTGGTTTTATTAAAAGGTGGTCAAAAGAATTAAACGACCCCTACATAACTAAAACCTTCTTCATTTCTTTGGTCCGTCCGATATTGGAGCACGGTTCATTTTTCAGAAGTCCCCAATATGAAGTACATCAGGACCGCATAGAATCCGTACAAAAGAATTTCTTAACATTTTCACTTAGAGGTCTTAACTGGGATGCAAATCTTCACCTTCCATCTTACAATAGTAGACTCCTTCTTATAAACTTGCATACCTTCACAAATCGTCCGACAATGCTCGGTATAGTTTTTCTGCATAACCTAATTAATGGGGATGTAGATAGGCAGCATTTACTAACACGCTTAAATTTTAACATTCCTAATAATAGCACGACCCTTTTAGGGTCTTATGTTCGAACTACAATGGTCTCTACTCTAATACATCTCTCTCCTAACCTTCAAATTGAAAGTCTAGAATTATAAATTTCCTTACTAACTCAAGTTTTCATGGAACTACCGAACTGAGTGGACGTGCCTTGCTCGAGCTCCGAAGAAACTGCAACATAAGACAGCTAATCAAAAAAAAAAAAAAAAAACTGGGGCAACTATTAAAAGCAATAGAAACTATTAAACTATTAAAAGCAATAGACAAGCTTTTTATAACAGTTGTGATGTGCTAAACCAAAACTAGTGCATTGTTTTAAATAAATAAGTGCCACGCAATGAGCTCATAAAGCAACGATCAAAAGAACGAGCATAGAAGTTCAGTGAACCAAAGAAACGGCTTCTACTCTTACTTTTCAACCCGAGATACCGAAATGGAAAAATAGCGATTAAGAGCAACCCGGCTTTACTGACCGCTGAAAATCAAAGGGCACGCTCACGCTCACTTGGTCACCGGCTCTGCTCACTCCGACTCCCGCGTCATAGAGTTCGCAGTGTAAAAACCCCCCCTCCAATATCGGAAACAAATTAGGAACCAACAACTACAATTTCTGCAATCACAGCGACAACCACTGCGAGTACAAAAACTACAACTTCGGAAAGTGCCAAGGCGGCCACGGCCACACAGACTGGAATGGATCGCTACATCCAAATTAAGCGCATGCTTACCCTTACCAAAGAACCCTTTTTCTGGCCAAAAACCATTTTATGAAAATTAAAAGATTTAAATAATTTTAGCTGCATATCATTCACAATAGATTAATTTTTAATGTTGCATATCAGAAATTTTCATAGATTTTCACTGCGAAGAAATCAGCCGTTTAAAACAGCTGTTGATGTTAACATTTACATGAGCTTAAAATTTACGATTTTTTAATGCGATTTTAAAAACGCGAATACTGAAAATTTTATGGATAAAATCAAAAGTTTTGAGATGAATACTTTTCAAAGTGGTTTATATTATGTGTTTGTGTATTTGAAGTGTCCAAAAAAATTGTGTTGTCCTTTAAATAAAGTAAAGTAGAAATAAATCACATTTTTAAAAAGAGATTTAAACTAAGTCAAACCGAGTCAAACATTGTAATTTAGACCATGTTGTAGATTGTTTAATTTTCTTCATATGAGCGAAATATGAAAATGCTCTTCTATGCGCTTTCGATGAAATTCATAATTTAAGGAGGCAACCTCAAAACTTTGAATGTGAATCTGTTAGCTGTGAGACTAGTGCAAAACCGATTTAAATTTAAAAAAAATAAAAGATTTTTAATTAAAAAAAAAAAACCACACCTACTTTTAAAAAAGAAGACTATGGCTATATAAAACACTAAAAAAGAACTGTTAAGAGGAGCCCCAAAATAAAGGTCGTACT